AAAAGTTTTAATAATTTTTTTTTTTAACAAACGTGGGGAGCCGGAGCAAATTTTTTTTTTTTTATTTATTTTTTAATAAAGTTAAGTAAACATTTGACCCACTGGAGAAAAAGAGAGAGAGAGAGAAAAAAAAATCTCTTTTAATGGTTCTTAATTGTAAAGAAAATGAGATTTTTTCTTATAAAAAAAAAAAAAGTTTTTTTTTTTTTTTCCAGTAATTCCAGGGACCAGGAAAAATTTTTATCACCGATAAGATTTGTATGTAAACTCATTTTCTTGTTCTTTTTACGTGACCACTTTATTTTTCAAGTGATTTTATAGTATCCGTTACGACAAAAATTGGATGCGTGCGTGTGTGTGTTCGTGTCCTTGAGTGTACACTCAGGAAAAAAAAAGAAAATTTTCTTTTTATAGAAAACTATCGTCGTTCTTTTTCTTTTTTTTTTAGGTTCTACCGACACGATTTTTTTTTTTTTTTTTAAATCGAAAATAAATATATATATATATATATAGAAAAATCGAATTTTTAATAATAATAATAATAATAATGGTTCGTTTATATTTACTTCCGGTCGTGTTGGAAAGAAATAAAAAAAAAAAAAAAAAAAATGTTTTTACGTCTTTCGTTTACTTTAAAACTTATAAATAAATTCACGTGTAAGAAGATTATTATTATTATTATTACTCTTGTTTTTTATTGGTCGTAAATAAAAAATTTAAACAATTAATTAAAGGTTTTCTATAGTAGTTTTAGTTTTATAGCGTACTATAATCATTTTAAATTCTTTTTACAAAAAATAAAAATAAAAAATTTTTTTTACGGTTTTCGAAAACCTTTTTTTTTTTGGTTAATTAGGTTTTTTGTGCGGTAAAAATAAAATCGCGCCTAAAAAATAGAAAATGTCGGACATGAAATTTAAGACGTAAAATTCTTTTTTTTTTTTTTCGGTTTGGTTTGGTTTATGATTTTTTTTTCAAAATGTCTGACTGGCCTTTTAAAAACTTTTTTTTTTTCATCAGATTTTTTTTTTCTTTTTCCTTTCATTTTCTTAAAGTTATTCCTTTCGAGTTTTCATTGGTTAATATTCTAAAATTCTCCAGAGAATTTTTTTATATTATCCAGACTCCCTGCCTACTACTACTACCACCACCACCACCACCACCATCATCATCACACAGGAAGAAACAAAATAAATTTTTCTAATTTGTAATTCTCGATTTTATTTTTTTTCTCATTCTCTCTGCTTCTCTCTTTCTCTCCCTCCCCCTTCCTCTTTCTCCCCCCGTTTTATTTACTTATAATTATTTATTTTTATACATTACGCATGGATAAATTTAAAAAAAAAAAAAAAACGCGGCGTAATACGGGGCATAATTAAAAAAAAATTCGTTTTTCCCCAACTTTAACTTCCGATACGTTTTTCTTCTCTTACACTTACTCTTCTACCCCTAATTTCCGCCATCTTTAAAAACTTTTTTCTTTTTTTTTTGTTATTTTCACGTAATTGATTTTAGTAAGAATAAAAAAAAAAAAAACAAAAAAAAAAACGTTTTACGTATATCTAAATCACGAATTAAATGATTCGTAAGAAGAGCTCAGATGCTTTCCTATATATAAACACTTTTTCGAGTTCAATTTTATAATTGAAAAGACTTGTAAACTTTTTAAATAGTTTTTTTTTCCCATTCGATTTTTTTTAAAAGTAATAATAATAATAATAATAATAATAATAATAATAAACACGAGGATTTAAACATTTGAAACGAATTTTTTTTTTTTTTTTTGACAACGAAAAAAAAAAAGTATTTTTTGTTCTGTTTTTTTTTTTTTTTTACCTTTTTCTAAATTACTGCGGCGACGACGACGACAACGACGACAGAAACGACGACAGAAGAAACGACGGGAAAAAAACGAGGAAAGAAAAAAGGAAAAAAAGGAAGGAGGGAAAAAAAAAGGTAAAAAGTAAGACAAGATTTAGGGATCATTTACTTTTTCAACATGTCAACATTATTAGAATTTACGCGAACGTTAACTTAATTAAACGCATTCGATAAATAACATTACATCCGATTCGAGGAAATGATAAAAGTTAGAAAAAAATTATTATTATTATTATTATCGAATTAAATCGAATCGATTAAGTTCGATTAATCGATACATCGATCGATAGATAGATATATTTACTTACCTATAACGTTTAATCTAAATGCTAAACTCATTTTGGGTTCCGTATTAACTTGACATTCGTAAATTCCAGCATCTCTTAATTGTGGAAATTTTATTTGTAACGTCCAGTTTTCCGATTTATCCGGTCTGCTGACCTGGAATCTTTGGTCGCTTGTATACGTTAATATTCCAGCTGTGAGTATATGTAAATCTCTTTTTCTAATCCATGATACCTGACACGAAAATTAAAGAAAAAAAAAACAAATAAATTATTTACTTTTATTTTTATTTTTCTTCTTCTTTTTTTTTTGTATCGTCTTAAAATCGATAAAGTTCGAAATGGTAGGTGAGAGAGAGAGAGAGAGAAAAAAGAAAAGACACGACTAGAAAACGTTAAAAAAAATAAATAAAACTGGGTCAAACTAACAATAAAAATTTTTTTTTTACAAAAAAAGGTAACGGAAATTTTGTTTTTTTTTTATTCCATGAGTATGTTCTTTTTTTTTCCTGGAAAAATGACTTTCATTTTTTTTTTTTTTTTTTTGAAATCTTGTGGAAAAATTGATTTTAAGGTGTCGAAAAGTTTTTATTTTTTGTAAAAATAATAATAATAATAATAATAATAATAATAAAAGAAATAAATAAAAATAGAAAGAAAATCTCATTCGCGCGTGGGAAAATAAGTTTTCGAAAGAAAATTCAATACGAAAAAAAAAAAAAATTTTTTTTCATTTGTCACGTGAATCATCATAAAAATGAATTTAAAAACAAAAGTGGAAGAAGAAAAAAAAAGAAGGAAAAAAAGAAAAACCTTTTGGATTTTTTATAAGTAAAAAAATATTTTTCCGAGTGCATTTTACGGTTTCGCGGTTTTCTTATTACAAAAAAAAAAAAAAAAATTTCAATTTTTATTAAAATTTTACCGGTGTGGTAAAACCTTCGTAATAATAATAATAATAATAATAATAATAATAATAATAATAATAATAATAATAATAATAATACTCAAAAACTCATTTTATAAAAAGAAAAATCCGTTTTTTATAAAATAAAGAAAAAG